ATATGTACAAATCTGAACTATGGCCTGTAGGGGGTTAGGGTTGAAGGACTCCTTTCTCCGCAATTAGACTCGAGGTTGGTCCGTTGTGCGTACTATGGCCTGTATATCTCTGTAAATATAAAGCTCTTATGTGTAAATTAAATATAGATATGTCCAGTGTAGTAGATAATATAGACTTTCTGGATTATTGCTGTACCAAGCCTAACAGTTACAAAGTCTACACTGATGGGTCTAAATCTTCATCTGCAGTGAAATCGGGTTACTATGATCCTCAGGCTAAAACCTCAAAATGTTTTATGTTAAGTAATACTTGCAGCATATTTACAGCTGAAGCTTATGCTATCTATCAAGTTGTATTGTACTTACAAAGTTTACAAAATAACGATAACTACATGGAGTTCCTAATAATTTCAGATTCAAAAAGTGTGTTAATGGCTTTAGACAAATGTCATACTTATTATAGAAATAATTATTTATTGTATAAAATTAGAGAAGCATTGATATCTTTGGATACTCCAGTAACATTTAAATGGGTGCCCTCTCATAGGGGTATCAAGGGAAATGATATTGTAGATGGTATCGTCAATTCTAATTATGATGAGGATCATAGTATTACATGCAGAGTTCCTTTTACGGATTTTCTTTTCGACTTAAAACAAAGAAGTCGCAAGTTATGGGAAAGCTATTGGAAATTATCCTCACAGCATAAAGGTAGTTGGTATGCAGAGATCCAAAAGGAACTCCCATGTAAACCTTGGTATGATAAATACAAAGGAGCCAATGAACGTAAATTTATAACCATTATTAATCGTTTGAGGTTTGGCCACTGTCAGACTCCAAGCCATTTATTTCGTTTTAAAATTATAAATAATAACAGATGTACATACTGTGGAGGAAATGAGGCCGACTTATCCCACCTCATCTTGAGTTGCCCGACCTTTAAATTTCAACGATTAATACTAGTAACGGATATTATGAAGTTGATGGATTTTGATGAGAATAATCGGACTAAACTTGGAAATTCTTTAGCAAATAACCCGACAAGATCAGTTTTAGACTCATCAGTCACTGCAAATGGTAGTCATCAATGTCAACCATCACAAATAGAAATTCCCCGCCGTGTCCAAGATTTACTGAAATGTCCAGTTCTATTCAAAGCTATTTACTATTATATAAAAAAACACAGTTGAGAAAATTTAAAGCTCACCATTATTTTATATTGATTGTATTTTTATGTTAAGTTAGTATAGTTATTTGTGTAAATATTTTGTTATACCTTTTTTTAAAGTGCCAATGGACTTTGTATCCGGCTAATAAATAAATTAAAAAAAAAAAAAAAAAACGTTCTTAGCGCGTGTGGGATGACGCGCCGGTGAATTTTTAGTTTGTAATACATTGACGTAATTTTTCTGTACCCGAATTATATATTAAGGTTAAAGAGTGATTTATAACTATTATTTTTATTAAGTTACATAGTTCTGTGTTGTGAATCTTGGTGTTGTTCTTGCAGGTTTCACAATGGCCGATCAAGTAGATTCAATGTCAGACGCGGAACTTCGGACAAAATTGGCCGAGCATGGGTTCCCCGTTATGCCTATTACGGCGTCGACGAGAAAACTCCTCGTAAAGAAGCTAAAAATGGTATTAGACAACAAAGCCCCTCACCACAGTGTTGATAGTAAAGTTAAGAACAGGCGGTCGCTTGCGCGCTATTCAAGTGACGAAGAGGTAGATATGGATACCAGTATTGTACAGGAAAAACGCAATCGCAGAGCCACAACGGGAGGCGCTATGTTACCACCGTCCACGAGCAAGACGAGACGTACACCTGTTAAAAAAATATCTAGTGTTAAACGTGACTCTGACGGGTCAGAGTCTGAGGAAGAAAAGTCGCCGGTACGCACCCACGAAAAAGTGGAAACAGTTACTACTCGACGTGTGACGCGCACTTACGCTAATGATCAAGAGGACTTTGAAACTGGATCGGATAGCGATGTTGATGCTGACAAGAAAACCAGTCCATTCCGTAGCAGTTCTAGGTCTAGTGACTACATCTCAAGCACACTCCCAGCTCAAGAAACTTCCACAAGCCCACCTAAAACATCAATTTTCTCACGCCCCTCACTATCTACAAACTATTCTTCACTATCTCCTTCAGACCATCTAAATTCAATAAGATCACGGCTTGGATTGACGTCAACCTTAGGAGATAGACCATCTCAGTACTCTTCAGCTACAAGTACCTACCAGCCATCAAGTAGCACATACCAACCATCTGCAAGTTCTTACAGACCTTCAGTGAGTCCTTTTCAGCCAACAACATCTACGTACCAGTCAAATCTCTCTTCTGTGGATGAAGTAGAATCTCCATACTTAAGCAACTTTACTAGGCGGTTATCTGCTCTTAAAGCAGATCCACCAAAAACTCCAACTTCTTTCGTAGATAGAGATGCAACAAATGGAAGCACAATACTTCCTCGCAGGTCGTACATAACTGGTGTATCAAGGGCTACTGCTGATAATTACAAAACAGCCAACGACAAGAACTTTTTAAAAAATAATCTTGTTTCACTTGCTCTTGTTGCTTTAGTGGCACTTTTTTTTTTTTTTCTATTTTTTATGTATATAGTTAAGAGGAATGACATAATATCAGTAGTTGACGACCAAAACAGTGTAATTCCAATATGTCAACTAAATATCCCAGGTAACAGGCCTGGGGTTAACTGTGTGCCTAAAGAACAAGTCACTTATGCTAAGAATTTGCTTAAAGTAATACATCCCGAATTAACTGCCAGAGCTGCAGCATACAAATGTGGGAAGGCTGGGGTGATGCCATATATGACTGAAAGAGAAATTCTTGACGTTGCCAGAGCACGAGCTGAGGCTATAGATGACAGTCAGTGTAGAAAAGATTTAGATAACTTACAAGTGTTATTGGTTCACAACCCGAGATGGGGAATCAATGTTGTACAACTTAAAAACTTGTACACAAAAGATGTCGAATACTTCACACTGCTGTCCACAGATGTTGTTGTTCAACAACGGAACAAAGGTCTGGTTGCCTTAACTCTGTCGGATCCTTCCACACCAGTGTCATGTTTATTTGTCAATACATTATACTCGGCTGGATCAACATTTCTTATCATTGGGGTGATTGCAGTGGCTATGCTCGGAGCCCAAAAATGTTATAAACTATATATAAATTATCAAAAGAGAAAAAGTGAAGAAATATATTCAATGGTAGAACAAATTATCGATCTAATATCGCAGGAGACTGAGAACAGCGGTGAGCCATACATATCAGTAGATCACGTCAGAGATACGTTAATATCCCCACAGAATAGAGAGAAAATGTCATCTATTTGGGATGCTGCCGTTCAATTTATTCAGAAAAATGAAAGTAGAGTTCGAATGGAAGTCCAGTCTGTGGATGGCGAAGACGGCAGAGTTTGGCGGTGGGTCGCCTCTCACAGCAGCCCTAAGCGCAGTGCTTCATGGCAAGGTCAAGCTTTCGAGACGCAAGAAGGATCCGTCAACAACTTGACCGTTTCGCCAACTCCTTGCCTGAAAATTCGCAGTATGTTTGAGAAAAACGATACAAACCAAAACCTATGCACTGTTATTCAAGATGTGATTTTGGAGAAATGTGACCGTTGTAATATTCTTCACATCGATATCGATAGGGCTTCATGCTGTGTATATGTGAAATGTGCCACCTCAGATGATGCCGGCATCGTGTACAAGAGCTTGCACGGCTGGTGGTACGAAGGCCGCTTAATCACTGTGAAATACCTACGTCTGGAGCGTTACATGCAGCGTTTCCCCAATTCACCGTCCTCCGGGCCCTACCTGAAGCCGTCTCGTCAACGAAAAACGTGGGATGAATAAATTTTTGCCTAACGTGGACATCGTGTGACCCGACGTAAAAACAGATTATTTATTTTATTGTAACAAAATTAATTCTGTGGACGGCCGTTGTAATAATTTCGAGTACTTAGCTTTTAGTTCTGTGAAAGGAATGTTTTTCTGGTGATTTTGTTTGTTAATGCACAACATTGTAAATGCTTTAGTCTGTCTACATAAAATTGTTGTCCCTAGATATAGTAATATGCCTTAAACAAATCCGTTGTAAATATGAGACATCACAAAGTTGAAATTTAAACCTCTTAGATAAGTTAAAAGAGTCAAAATGGCTCGCATTTGTTATTTGAATTTACTGTTTTGGAACAATTATTATAATTCTGTTGTTAGGGTATAATTTTAATTTCTCATTTTTATAAGTTTTGTATTTTCATTTTCAGCATATATTGTGTTGCGAGTGCCACAATATAAGTGTGTTTATTTATAAGGTTGACATTAATATTTTGTTTAAGTACCTACTCTTACTAATTCTTAGTGTAACATTTTATGGATTGATTTTTACTTTTAATAAATAATAATTAGAATTTTTGTTCTTTTTTTATCTATGTACTCTGCTTTTCTATTGAGATAGAAGTTATTATCTTAACACGAGTCAAAGGTTGAGATTTGGTTAAAATGTGTCTCGTCTTGAATACATTTTTATGTATATTCAAAAATATAACATTTCTCACTAAACTTCACTTACCAAACTACTAGTGCAAATAAAAACTTCGAGATCGGTTATAATATTTATTGAAGATTCTCAAGCTTATAATTAATATTTATACATCAGAATTTGCATAATAAAATTAATATTGACAAGTACTCAGTAAGCCTCCCATGTAATAATAAAGAGCCTTAACTTCTAAATAACAAACCCGAATTCAAAGAAGTTCTTCCACCGCACCTTGAATTACCTGATACTAATCGCTACGGTTACGTGGTAAGTTTATTACGATGACAATAACATTTTTATTAAAATACTAATTATATATTACGCCCCTACTGCAACGTGACGTTTCCATACAAATACGCCTATCACATACTTTCCTCTACCTCTGGACCTATTACTGTTAATGAAAGTACAGCATTTCACAAAACTAATAATTAAGCAGCTTCTCCAGTGCGCTGAGACAGCGCATCTTGTCGGGAAGATAGAAAGGCTCGAAAACGTGAGGGAAGGGCGCGTCCCATCCTGTCACTCGAGCCACTGGGGCTTCCAGGTGCAGGAAACATTCCGACTGGAACACATATTTATACACAATTTAAAAATAAAATTTCTCACAAAATGTCAATGTGTGATTACCGAGTCAAGAATACCAGTCACCGATAAAATATCTTACCCTACTGTTAACAGTTTGATTCAGAAACTAATATAATTGAAATCAGTTACGCAATTAGTCGGTAATAAGTCTGCTCGACTGATCAAAATTATACTAAACAGTGGCGGGATTTACCAGCAGGCCGAGTAGGCTGGAGGCTGGAGCCTAGGGCGGCAAATTTGGGAACCAATTTTTTTTGCAACCTCAAAAAACGGTTTTCTGATATTTTACCCAACCGCCCAACCAGTAATCGACCTCTGCGCCCTCAGCTCACGTTGCATAAGTGAAACGAGCGAAATTGCAGAACATTTATTTAATTATGTATTAACATGTATTTCTCTCTTCCCCCTATCAACCCATACGTGTCAGTCCTACTACTGATGGGAGGCTGCAAACTGAATGGTTTGTGCATAATTTTGTGCTCAAAAATCAAAACCAAAAATTATTTTACGTGCAACGAAATTGTTGGATTGAATAATCTTGGACATTTGAAGAGGCAAGGGCGGCAAAAATGTCACAGCCTATACTTTGAAATTTTGTAAAAACAAAGGTTTCTCTGTTTTATAAATGATGCTGCTAAAACGCCATCTAGCGTTTAGCGAATTACGTACCGACTACTGGTTTTTAATACTTAATTTAGAAATATGATTAGGGATCGGAGACCGCAAATATAAAGTATACCTGTACAGTAGCAGCTAATTCGGCGCCAAATCCACTTGTCAAGGGCGCTTCGTGAGCCACCAGACATCTGCCCGTTTTCTTCACGGACTGAAACGGAATAATAAAAGATAATTCTTTTTATTCATCTTTCTTCAACATTTCAAAAGCAGCAACTTTTTAAGAACCTATTTGGAATACTTATTTTAATCATTTTAAAAACCTTCAATTCACGACAAGGCACGCAAAACATCGGCATAGTTTTATAGGATAAAATAAAAAATTACAAAATGTAATCTAATTGTTACAATTTAATTTTTTTTTTTTTTTTTTTTTTTAAAAAATTTTTTTTCTCCATTTTTTTAATTTTTTTTTATTTTTTTATATTTTTATTATTTTTTTAAATATTTTTTTTTTTTTATAAATAAAAAAACACACAAATATAAATTTATATACCATACCCTTTTTTTCCCCTTCCCCCCCCCCCCCCCTCCCCCCTTTTTTTTTTTCTTATTTTAATTTTTTTTTATTTTTTTTTTTTTTTTTTATTTTTTTTTTTTACCCCCCCCCCCCAAAACCATAATCTAAAAAAAATTACAAAATGTAATCTAATTGTTACAATTTAATTGGTCTGTATTTTTATATTAGAACAATTTTTGAATACTCAAATTTTAAGAAGAAATTTTGTTAAAAAAGTGTGGTGATGGAATACTTTCTAAAATAGTGTTAATTAGGAATAATGAATATAGACACTTACATTACAAACGGTTTCTTCATCCCAAGGTAGTATAGACATGAGGTCGATGACCTCGCAGCTGATTCCTAACGTCTCTTGTGCTTTTTGGGCCACTTCTAGAAGTACGTGCACTTGGGTGCCCCAGCCTATTAGGGTTGCTGCATCACCTATTAAATAAATATGATCATTATTTTACTGCTAAATATACACTTTTGTGTGTATAATTGTATATATATATATAAGTAATATTCTGCACCCTAATAGGCAGATCTATCTCACGATTTCGTTAATAGTGTACGAGCCAAGACTGTACATTTTGCTCACACAAGTTTTCTTAGTTTTAAAAGCGTGGCGATATCCTAAATCGTCGGAGTTACGCCCCGAGAGTATAACGAGACGTAGGCACTCTCTTCAACTGTTACATTGCATTCATTCGTTTCATAGCAATTAACATTTCATTATTTAAGTGGTTAATATAGAGTAAAACTAAAATCCTCTATTATTTAAAGCACCCCGATGACCCTCGGTCCATTAATCAAAAATATTAGTTGATAAGTGTTATTCTTCTCAAATTTAAGCAATGTGATTTCATAATAAAACAATGCTCCATATTGGCTTAACACAATTGAATAGGCAAAGTTCAACTAAAAAAAGGTAAGGTAAAAGTAGTACCAGCCTTCTCTTAAAACTTGTGCTTTTCCCAGAGGTATTTCGTAGCTGTCCGTGGGCACTTCTTCGGCGGCTGCTCGGTACAAGATCTTCGGTTCGAGAAACACACAAGGATCTCTCTCCTTGAGGCAGGATAAGAGGAGACCTTTTGCTGAAATTGGGCCTCTGGGGACTACCACCTACGATTTTTTACAAAACTGTTTTTAACTTGTATATTGTAATTCTTAAATCAGCACAGGAAAGATATAGGATATAATATTTAATGATCAATGTGTTGTCACTGAGTATAGTACTATTATTATGTTAAATTCGCAAGAAATACAAATATATCGTACTTAGAACTGTCTTTCATACCTTTAGACCTGGTGCATGAGAAAAGAAGGCCTCAGGGCTCTGTGAGTGGTACAAACCCCCGTGCCCCACTGCTCCACAGGGAGCTCGGACTGTTAGGCCCCCACAGTCAAACTGGCCTCCAGAGCGGTACCTACACTTCGCCGCTTCATTTACAAGCTAGAAAAAATATTATATTAAACAAACATCAACAAAAATTTGAAAAAAATATATTGATTGAGACTAAACTGAAAAAAAGGGTGCGTGTACTTATGTACGCGCGTAAGAAGTTATACTTCTTTGGCTTTCATTATTTTTTTAAATATTAAATAATTAATAATAAATATTTAACGTTAATAATTTAATAATATTTAATATATTATTCAATTATTAATTAATATTAATAATAATTATTATTTATTATTTTATTATATTATTAATTTAATAACTAGGTATGTTTCATAAACTTTTAACTAAGTAACAATAGGTCTTTGTGAAAAAGCATTTCTAAATTTCTTTGAAAAAATAATTAATTCATTGTTTACAAAGGTCATTATGGTCATTCAAAATTCTTCGCATAGCTGCTAACTTTACGCATATTCTATTTCTTTATAATTGTAGATTGTCTTATTCCCATCTCGCTCGCGCACGCTCGGCGTCCGGCTGGTTTAAAAACTTCATACTGATAATTTTGTGTCACGGTGCGCGCGCATCGTACAATTTCACTCTCACCAATTTTTCATAACGCGCCTAAAGAAGTATAACTTCAATAATTAGTATTTTCTTAATCAAACCCACAAATCTTTACTAGATCAAACACATCACGTAAAAATAGCTGACAAAACTTACTTACAAACACAGGAACTTCTATCTCAACACATAGTGTTTAACTTACCTGATCGAAAGCTGGGAAAATGTAATCAGCAAATTGTATTTCAGCAATTGCTGTGGCACCTGCTGTGGCCAATCCAATACCAAAGCCAGCTATACCTTGCTCACATAAAGGTGTGTTGAATACTCGATCATTGCCATATTTTTCCTGAAATGATACACATACTGTACTTGGGATGTGAATCTAAGTATCAGATCATGGTGATAACATATTTTAGTATCAGTTTCAATTATATTAAAGGGAAGTACTAGACAGATATTCTCAACTTACAATGTATAGTGTTATAGGAACCTTGAAATAAAATAATGAAACTAGTATATGCAGAAACACTTTCACAAGGCATTATTATTGGGATTGTTCAATTTAGTACCACACTGGCAATACATAAACAAGCATTGGCAATACATAAACAAGCATTGGCAATACATAAACAAGCATTGGCAATACATAAACAAGCATTTATTACAACAGACAACAAATAAAATTTATAATTCTATTTCCATGTATGTATACATAACACATTATATTGATCACATCTATAGATGTGGGTACCCAGTACCCACTGACTTTTATTCTTATTTGATAGTATTTTGTGAAGTGGGTGATATGTCATTCCAGCCATGTTTTGAAAAAGTATTCCATTTCAGTATAATTTATGAGAATCCAAAAAGAATAGTAGATTTGTGTCATTGAAAATTTAATGTACAAATGAATAATAGTTATGTTAATGCCCAATTCAGAATAAATAATCAACATATTTTACCTTTTATTAATTTTCTTAGGTAACATTTAGTTAGTGACAACACAATGTGGACCTCTTTTTATGCAAATATTATTGTGATTTGATGGCAATGTGATGAAATGTGATGAAATGTAACAATGTAAATCAGCTTTTTCTGTTTCTACCATATCAACATGATTTTAATACCTGAAGGCCAAGGGCACATCTGAAGACTCCTCCAAAGGCTACATCCTCACCAAACAAAACTGCACTTGAATCTGTCTTTAAAGTAATATCCATGGCATTATTGATTGCCTGCATCATATTCATTTTTGTTGTATCACCTGAAATAATATATTATTATTAATATATATAAATCATCACACGGCACATATCAGAGTCTATAGCTAGTTTATGTATGTGCCATATACATTAAACTCATGTAACATTCAAAATGTTTTACATATTTAATTAAATGATAATTGACCTGACCTGAATAGTGGAAAATTGTGTGAAAAGCAAAAGTTATTATTATATAATAAATTGGACATCATGGCATAAGAGGCCAAATCTTCAGAGATCTTGGTGGTAAAAGTATCATAAGTAAACAGTTTCCAATTGGCAGCTGATTAGATATTAAACAATTTTTAATTAACCTCACCAAAATGTAAAATATCACTCACCCTCTATGGGCCTGTGTTCATCTGGGAAAAATGTAAAATGTGAAGACATTCTTTTCATAAAATGGTTTACATTTTTGAATAAATATCTTGAAACAAATATTTTTTGTTGTACTATTCCGTTCATTTTGTTTAAAACGTGCTCGCGACCACAGTGTTAGTATTGAATGGAGTGAATAAATTAAAGAAAACATCTTATCTACAATTGTAATTATAATGAGCGTAACCGATAAACACTGATAGCGCATGAAAAAAATTAGTTTTGTTTATTTAATATTTTATGAAACCTTGAGAGATGTAGGTATTTTTAATACAAAATAATAAGAATTAAACAGTCAAACAATATCAATGTAATAAAATGACTACGTATATATGTTAACTAAGAGATATTAATAAGCACTCATTTGTAAGTTTAAATTATTAAAAAGTATGTATAGTTAATTTTTAACTGCTGAGTCCAGACAATTGAGTGTTGACACTTGACAGTTGATTTGAAACTTGTGTTCAGCTGTCAGTTGTCAACTATTATATGTTGACTGACGGCAGCTAGTGGTTAAAGATAATCCATTATCGTCAGTTCAGATAAAAATATTAATGTTAAAACTTACATTAGTTGCATCTATGGAACAATAATATTATTTAAATAAAGTAGTGTTAAAATGTTTAACTTTACTCTCTTATTATTTTTTACTGTATACTGGATTATTGAACTAAGCAGTTCATCATAAGATTTTTTGCTAACACGTTTAATATACTTGATACTTTAAACACTTTTTCATTTTCAACAAGTAACTTTTCATTACTAAGTGAATTCTAATCAAAAAGTTATACAATTATCTGTGCATAAACGGTTATCATGTACTGTTCGCATTGTTTTTTATTTTATTCTCATCATGTGCCACCGAAGCTGGCTACTTTGCTTAAAAATATTATCAAGATCTGATGACAATGAAACTATAAATATTTTATTCACGAAAGCATGTGTCTGGTCCATGGAACATTCACAAAATAAGCTTGACGCACCAATGGAGTTTACAGTTCAACGTGTTAAAAATATAAGTTTGTACTTTATTCATTAATTTATTTACAACACAAATTAAATTGATTGACGAATATTTAAATTCTTGGGATTGATTTGCTCCAGTTCAAACAATTTGTATGACTCAAAACTTAGCGATTAAAAAGAGTGGCGGAAAGTTTCTTGCCAGTTCTTCTTGCCCGCTCAACGCCCTTGGTAGTACAAGTAAATTTACAATTAATTATTTAACTTCTTTTCTGACGTTTATAAGTGTACTTGTTTACCTATATGAATAAAGTTATTTTGTGTTTGAAAAAAATAAAATATTTTATATAAAATTTGGCCAATTTTATACAATAAACAATTATTAAAAGCTATTATTAGGTATACAATTAGCAGAAAACGTGTTGCTGTTCATAATTTTTTCAAAGTGAGTTTTTAAATCACAATATATAACACTTTATATGCTTCATGTAGGTCGCTCTCTGGCGAAGAGTCGAGAAAACTATTAATCTGCGAGAGTACGCGGGGAATGGGAGCTTATTGACGCTGGACTGTAAGATACATCGCAAAAAGCCCTCAAGGTAAGGCAAGTTCTTTCTTTTATATAAGGGTCTAAGGAGCTTTTTTAAGTTTCTTGTAATCAAAGCCATTTTAGAAATTCGTCAATAAATATAGTTAATCAAATAGGTTAGTAAAAGATAGGCGGAAACCGAATCAATTAGTTTTAAACGGTACTAATTTCCAACATCCGGAATACCTGTTCACAAATTGCGAATAAAATTTTATTGTTATCATTGGTTTTACGTTTTTGGCGCATAATTGACTCCGACGTCCATAAAAGTTAACGAATTTATATGAAACAAGTGAAAATCGACCTTAGCGAGCTATGTTACTGATTGGATCGGATCCTTTACATCATATATTATCATTTTGTAATAAATTGATATGTATCTGAACGTCAATAAAGAAATATCAATGTTAAGTGTACATTACGAGGATTTATATATATGCCAGACAGACCTTGTATCGTCCATCTAGACAGACAATTGAAAAAAATTCTTTAATCCAATGTTTCCCAACCTTTTTTGTGCCATGCCCCACCTTAAAAGAGTGGCGGAGAGTTTATTGCCAGTTCTTCTTGTCAGTTCTACGCCCTAGATTTGACAACTGACAGTAGATGTAAAATTAGAAGCATTTAGCATTTTAAGATGTATTTCTTTATTGACGTTCATTTTTCACCTAAATTGTTTGTTACACATTGTGTTACCTAAATGAATAAATGATTTTGACTTTTACCTTAGCCTACTTAAAACTGTTGACCCCCCCTATATATGTATATAATTTATATATTTAATAAATATAGTTAAAAAAAACTAAAAAACACACATTTAAAGCACATCAACCATCAATACCAGTATTTTTTGTTCATTACCATTTTCAGCCTAAATTAGGAATTATTTTTCACTTTTTAGTTTGATGTGCTTTAAAAGCGTGTTTTTTCGTTTTTTAAACTATATTTATTGTCAACTTTTTAGTCCTAGCAGCAATACGTGTTGTCTCAATTGAATCGTATTGCTTTGTGGACTTAAAAAAAATTTCATTGTTTTTTCGAGATAAACCTATGAAATTATTATATTGTCGCTGATTCTTTATAAGTGTACAAAGTTTAAAGTAAATCTGTCCGTTTAAAGTGGGTCAAAATCGAGTCGGAAGGAGTCGGTTACATACATACATACAGGTGAAGCTGATATAAAGCGTGTAAAAAAATGTTCACTTAAGAAATTTAAATGTTAGGTTTTAGGAAGAAATTACTAGGATACTGTTAACAAAACAATAAGTAAATTTTTAAAACAATGAAAAATTCCAAATAATTTTAATAACAACTTTTCTACATAACTTTAGTTGATACTTGCTGCACAGAGATTTTCTATTAGGTTCCAATTTGGTTAGCTTTAGTCTCAAGTCTCCACGTTGTGTTATATCCAGCTGATTTCCATTGTCCCCCTTAAAAATCAAATTGCCCGCCCCTGTGGGGCTTGGGCCCCACGTTGGAAACACTGCTTCGATCTGTGCAGCGGCTAGAATCTATTGAATTCAGTGGCTTAGTACCTATGTTAGGTATAACAAGAATTATAGATCAAAAGTTAAAAATAATTTAGATAATACGATGTGGAATAGAATGTTTACTGATATATTGTAGAATATTTACGGTGTATATTTTACATAAGGCCTAAAGGTTGTGAAGATTTAAACGATGTGAAAAGTACATAATGTGAATACAAATATAACATTATCTGTAATAAAGCATCATAAATAAATCAAAGTAAGGTTATTATGTTATATAACGCTTATTACCCGCAATTCACCATAAACAAAAAAGTTCTGCCGTCAATATTAATTAACTTCATACATATAGCACCTTCTTAACTATCTTTCGACATTTTGAGCTAAAATTCAGAGTCGAGAGCAAGGACAATTGACTTCATTGTCTTTTTCGAGTGTTACTGTGTCAGTTTTGACATACGGATTTGACACGTATCGGTAATACACATGAGAAGACTGAAGAATCATGCGCCAATTGTGGCGTGACAACGTCTTATAAATCAACGAACGCCAGCTGAACGCACGAAAAACAAAGCATGTCTCATTGTCCCGTTACGCGCATTGTCCCATTTCGCTCACTGTACACATGTACGGCATCTATCTCTCTTCCACTCGAAGACTTAAGTATGCAATAATTTCAGCAATGTTTTGTTATGACGTTGTCACGTTAAATCGTCCGTAAGCCGACTTTATAGACAACCATTTTTTCGATGAGGATTGCACGCTTAACCGGGCTCTTATTAACTTCTCCTAATATTATTCACAGTTATATTTTGTTTTGTGAAATAGCAGAGCCTGAATTTTAATTATTTGTCGGAGTATACATATAAACAATGACTAAAGAGATAATTACAAAACCGCAAATTGTTGAACCCGATACAAAGCGAAAATCTCAACACTTTAATTACTTTACGCAAACTTTAACAATAACTTCTTCGAAACGATTTAAAGTTAATCATTCAAAGGAAATTGAAAATTATTTCTACGCTTTAATAAGAAACTAAAGACGCAGTTTTAAGGATGGGTATATTACATATTCAAATCATTGGTAAGTGGAAGTTCAGCTCAAGAAAACCCTGGTAAGCAGTCCCATAAATATTGAGTTTTTGTGTCGCGCATTAATTACGAAATGTCGTACAAAAACGTCGAGATCCCGATTGCAAGTTACGGAGTACCGGCGCTAACCGGTTCGACCACATGGGCTTAACTCTATTGAGACTGGCCTACGGGAGATAAAACTGTGCACATATAGGTGTTAGCAAACGCACTGTGACGCTTCTTCCGGATTTATTTGTGTCGAGAAAAACTGAACCTTCTCAGGCGCAAAGAGGAAGTAAAAGATTTGCTCATCTCCTGCCATCTTACCGGTCCGGTAGAATGGAAAAGCGGCATTAAAGGCCTGTTTGATGCTGGAACTATCCGAGGTATTAAAGTGGGTATTGCTCACCCAGTTCTCTGAGTAGCATACGAGTTGGAATGAGTCGGGCTCGCTTGGCTGTTTTAGTGAATGCGTAAATTTGAAATATATATGTCGCAGCCAACTCGTTTAATTAGCCGTTCAATCAACAGCCTAGCCTCCTTACTATGAATGAATATTATTTGTTATACATTTAATAAAATGGCTGGCTAATGGTTACAGGTTAGGCCATTCGTACGACCATGTAAAATAAAAAAGCTGGAATATGTAACATAAAAATATTTATTTAATATATTTAAAATGAAACATAATTGTGTTCTTACACTTACACGACACTCAACCATACTATTTTCCATCACATCATCTAATTTGTTGTTTGATGATGCTATATTGACAGATGGCAGAAAGTGGAACTAAATTGAAATGCACAGGATAGGCAAGTAATGTAACGTCATCGATACAAGTCACTTACCTAGCTAGTAGATCAACTGGTTGAATATCATTCAGGCCGCTAGTTGAACTGCGCTGTTTAATAAAGGGACTAGCCTGTTGACTGCACGGCTAATTAAGCTAGTTGGCTACGACA